CGCTGCCATTTTTAAACCACGTAAAACAGTACTTTTGTTTCTCGTAAAAACTGGATATTTTGCAGTAACCCCCCTTCCTAGACCAACTTCAGAAGTGCGTGGGGCCTATGAGCCAGCAGCTGGTAGTAGGGCTGTGCGGTATTGAAATTTCAGTACCGAACTTCGATATTAAAGAAATACCGAAACTTGTCGGTTTCGGTTATCGATACCGTACCGAAAATACCGAAATACCGAAATATCGAAATACCGAAGTATCGAAATTTCGACAACAGAGAAGCTAGCGAGGAAGTGAAACAATTTGGGCACTTTGAAAACAGCGCTCTATCTAGCGTCGTAGTAGGCGCGTAGAGCGGAAAAAGAACGGTAGGGGGGACTGGGAGGGGCGGACAAGTAAAAGTAAAGGTTTGAGGGGGCTCGCGCACCCACTCTGAGTACCAAATTCTTCGTATTATGGAAATATTGAAATATCGAGATACCGAAATACCGAAATTTCCAAACTTTCGGTATTTTTTGATATTTCGATAATATCGAAATATCGTTCCCGAATAGCAGAAATTTAAAATACCGAAGCATCGGTATAAAAAAAATACCGATATCGTTTCGGTATTCCCGAATATCGCACAGCCCTAGGCCGGCCGGCCGGAGGGGGAGGGTGAGGCTGTGGCTAGAGGAGGGTTCCCTGAGCAGCTCGTATCGACCAGCGGAAGTCGTGACGTCCGGCCATGATTTTTCCACCCCATATTCAATATTGTAAAGGTGAAATATACGGGCATTTCCTAATAAAATAACAAAATATTTTCCCACAGCAGGGCGAAGAAATAGACAGGCCCCTCGATCAAGCCACAAAACTCCCAACTCAGTTTTTCGAACAGCTCACGTAGGTGCGACAGTCAAAGCCGATACTTTGTGGTGTCTAACTATGTTATACGTCAATTGGTGTTTAAACTTTCGACACTTCCGAAACGTATAGCAGCTGCACACCGTATGGTTCCCTATTGACAGCATAGAACTGTGTGTGTGTCCAAGTGTGCAGAATTTAAACGTTTACAAAACGTCTAAAATTTGCACACCACGCAAGTATACAACATGAGTTAAACACCATGTAATGTGCAAAATCACAACTTGCACACGATGGTGTGCAAATATTGCACACTTGTTTTACCAGTGTAGCCCCACGTCGCGGTACACGAGCACTGCGTCAGGAGGGCGGCGATCAGCGCGAGGACCGCGCCAACAACAGCAGCGGACACCACGAGTACGTACGGGCACGGGGCGTGGCGTCGCCCTCTAGGTTGGTGGCCAGCGTCGGCAGGTACAGGAGGAAGACGACGTGGAGGAGGAAGGACACAGCGAGCAGCGCCGGCCCGCTCCTTGGAGCCCGGGGGCAGCGCAACGCTGGCGGGGACCAGCGTGGAAACGGCGAGCACAGGACAAAGCGCAGGGCGCGCCTGGAATACGGAGCCCCTGGGAGTCTGATCAGCAGAAGAAGGAAGTTATCCGAGGAATGAAACAACAGGAGGAGAGCGAGCGAGCGCAGGGGAGAGGGGACGGAGCTCAGCGCCGTCGCTACACCAGAGCCCCAGCTCCCGTCCCGTGCGGACCTGTTCTAAAGAAGCGGGGGGGG